TGTGATTCCATTTTCCTGTCTGGTTGTCCTTCCTTTTACTCCCTCTTTTCTCAAGATTTCATTCATGTATTCTTATTCCCCTTCTGGGCTTCTTTTGCAAAGCATGGAGGGAGGTATTGTGTTTGGCTGCGCCTTCTGTAGCAGCCATTTTTGGTCCTGCTCTGCCTTCCACATTAGCCATTTTGGGTTGGCAGCCATTTTTAGCTGGCACTCACCACCGCCTCTCAAAATTCTAAAGGTGCCAGCAAGCCCAGAAAGGTTGGGCACCTCTGCTGGAGCAAAGATTTTTTTTCTTGTCCGCTCACAGGTGTAGTCCATGATCTGTAGGCACAGTATTATAAACTCCTTTTCCGGTTTGCATGGTACAAGAGCTGACATACAGTCCCTACAGCAAAAAGTCTGCTTGATCGGACCTTGGGATAGAGAAAAACTGGACACTGATGGCTTGGTCCGCTTTTCCCTTGGTCCGCTTTGCAGCAAAACCCCACTGCTTGTTGCAGAGATGCGTTAGAAAAACCACAATGCAGAACCAAAGTTTTAATATAAAGTATTCTTCAGTAGGGATAAGCATGTTTTTTGGTATTATCATTCCTGACTAGCCATTTCAGCTGGATACATGGCATAAGAGATCTGACCCTTGTAGTAAAACAGTATGATCCAGTTTGGAGACTAAAGAAAGATTCATAGAACCCTCTAAAAGTAGTGATTACAGATTCGATCCATCCTGCTTTTTGATCAATCTTACTCAGTTCCCTTTCCCTTTCGATTTATTGATCGCTCAATCCGGCAGAGCTGCTGGCTCTGAGCGATGTACAGTTACACGGTTTCACACAAGGGACTAACAATTTCATAGGGGTAAGGGAGGACAACATATAATTCTTTAAATCGCACACATTTTGCAGCCGATGGGGATTTTTGTTCAGCTGTAGGCTTCAGACGTGTTCCGGAGGCATTCACTTTTCGGCTTGGCTTGATGATGTTGGTTCTTCCTGGGCTCCTTTGAATCGTAATGCCGCACTGCCACCGCCTGGCCGGATTGGCCCATTACAGGCTTCTTAATGCCAAAGAGGTCTTTTTTTATCAGGCTTACGAGCTGGACATTCCATGCACCGGCTAACACCTCCTCTGCGGGGGGTTAGTGTGCCCACCCTCTCTAAGGAGTGGTACCCATTTTATCTACTCGCTGAAGCTTTCGAACCGCTGGGTGGACAGCGAGCCCTTGTTGTATATAGCTTTTGTCCATGCAGTTCTCTTGACTCCAGCATATCATTTTTGGTGCTTCGGGTGGAAAAGTTGGTTGGATCCAGTCTTAAATTTCACAAACCATGTTCAGTAGCCATGTGTCTATTCTCATTTGCTGCTCTTAATTTATTAGGTAAATAGTTTGGTAATATTAAAAATTGCCCACGGTAATCCTTTTTTATTTCAGTAAAAGTATGTTGAAATAGGTGTTTAGTTGATTTTGTTTTGTTTCTTAACTTAGTAATGGAGGCCTACATTAAAGATGTGTTTTAGACTAGAAGACAGCAACTAATGTGCATACTTTGTTTATTACACATTACGAGGGGGCAGGAATATATATGACACCATGAGCTTCTTACAATAAGAGTGGGATAAAAGCAAATAAAGGGTGTTTCTCATACCTGCTGTAAAACCTTGATACTCTTTTGATTTCACATCTGTGGACTTTTTCTGTTCATTTCCCTAGGAACTACTTTAAACTTGCTGAAGTTCCCAATTATAAATCCTACGCCTTACAGAATATTCAGAAGGAAAGAAAGGCTGGCAGCAGATGCAGCAAAAACGGAGGAAGACCTCAGTGAAGAGGAGCAGAATCACCTGAAAACCCTCAAAAAGCAGAGCTACTTGATAGGTGTGTGTTTTCTGGGAACGATGCCCTCCACACTAATTCCTTACTGTTGGTTATTCTCCCCAGAAGCAGGAATCAAACTGTCCTTCAGTGAAGCAGTCCAATCTCCATGGGAAAGGCAGCACAGTAACCAGTCTGTTTTAAAACCCATGGATCAGGAAACCCCTTGCACATTTCCCGTGCAGCTTAAAAAAGGAAGTGTCCGCCCGGAGTGAATGTGATAGCTTTGTTGAAACAGACTTTTCAGGACTTTAGAACTGAAAGCCAATTTGGTGTAAGTGGACAGAGCGCGGATTCTAATCTGGGAGAACTGGGTTTGATTTCCCACTCCTCCACATGCAGCTGCTGGTGTGACCTTGGGTCAGTCACAAGTTCTCTCAGAGCTGTTCTCTCAAGAGCAGTCCTCGAAAGAGCTCTCTCAGCCCCACCTACCTCACAGGGTGTCTGTTGTGGGGAGGAGAAGGGAGAGGAGATTGTAAGCCTTTCTGAGACTCCTTTGGGTAGTGAAATGTGGGGTATAAATCCAATCTCTTCTTTCTCTTCTCTCTTCTCCTTTACGTTCAGGCTAGGGAAAGTACAATTGGGATTGTGTTAGAATGTCTTTCTTTTGGAAACTTTGTAAACTCCTTCTGTTTGTGTGTGCAGTTCTCCCTCTGCCCTGTTGGTTACACTTGGATTCTCTAAAATTGCATTTGAACTTCTTTGTCTAGGTAACGCTGTCCCCCATCCCCCCCACCCTTGGATCGCTGAGTGAAATCACAGCCAGTAGACTCTAGGCTGCCTGTGTGTTTCAATGAGGTGTGAAAAGGAGGCAGAGCTTTTGTCTGATCCTCTGTGGCAGCATGTGTGCTCTTGACCCCCCTTTTTTTTGCAGCCAAGGGGGAGGGGAGTTTGGGGAAGAGGCTGGTGTTGGAGCTGTATTGCTCCACTGCCCGTGTGCGATCTAGTCATGACAGATGTGCTTTGAAGATTTGAAAATGCAATATAAAGGCTAAGTGCTGTTGAAGTAGGAGGCACTTGAAAATGCAGTATAAATGCTGAGTGCTATTAAAGTAAGAGGCAGCTGTAAAAGACGAGCTGTGCAGAAGGCAGACACAGAAGGAAGAGCTTGTCCTGAAAACGAAATCCAGATGTGAGCTCTTCGTTGTAGAGCCGCAGTCTCCAGAATGCCATACGTCTCCATGGAGGGGGGAAGAAACTGCCAGTTGAAGAAAATGTGAGTAATGGGGTGTATGTTTTCCCTCTTGATGCAGGAAGAGTTGGAAGAACATTTCAGCTCCCACAGAAGTTGAGAAAGAACTACGAAGTTGACTTTGATGCTGAAGCGCTCTCTTTCAGCGCGGAGGAAGAACCTACCCTTCCCTCCAAAACCACCAAGAAAGCTGAACTCTCATACAACGAAGTGAAAGATGCCCGCTGGTTTCATGACACTCCGGGAATTATAAGAGATGGCTGCGTAAGGATCTCTTCTGTTTTTAAGGAGTTCCGTATGTGAGGAGCAGAAGCAGGGCGGTACTCGATCCCCAGTCTGGGAGCTGAAGGCCTCCTTTGTTCCAAACATCATTTTCATAGAATGCACCATCTGTGCATAAATTTGGCACCTGGCTTAAACAGTTCAGGTCCAATGCAAAGAAGAGGCTGCTCCCCCCCCCCATGTCCCACAACACCTTCCAAATTAGTGAAATGCTCCCTCAATTATGCTGTGTATGTACCAGGTTTGCACAGTTACATGTAGAAGAATGTCCTCTGCTATTACGGGGGTTTATGGTCCTCTAGCAGGTTGGTCTACATGTGCATCTCTTCAAGCTCATCAGACTCTGCTTCTGCACAGTTAGGAAAAATTCTACACCAGATCTAAAATAGCAAGAATGGGTTTTTGGAGAGCCTTTGGAAGTGTGCCCTGTGCGTGGTTTTATCCATCTCTATTATGTCCGTGCGCAGCAGATTGGAACCTGCTAGAGAGAAAACAGAGCCCTTTGCTGTTTTGTAGTCCCCAGTGCGATTGTGTAGGAGAGACGGAGGCCTTGGACACAAATCAACCTGACAGAGATTAGCAGCTGAAGCAACAGCTGTATCCTGCACATAATACTTCTTTATTACATGAGGACATTACAACAAGTAGGCATCAGCTGTACTGTGACACTGCTCCAGCAGCGATGGTCTTCTGGTGGAGTAAGTGCATACTTCAGAGACACAGATCTGAGGCAGGCCTTAGTGGCCCTGACCGGACAGAAGAGCAGGACATAAATAAGTTTTCCATTGTTTGTGTTCTGCTGGAACCCGAGTGCTTACTTGGCTGTTTTTTAAATTACGAATGCAACATGGGCAGCCAGATTTGGATATTCTTTGCCCCTGAACAGGCTCGATAGAGGCTGCCTAGAAAAACTTACCAAGGCAGCTGAGCATATGTGATGTACACAGTTCCTCCATTGCACCGGTTGTGCGTAGAATCTGTTAACAGAGGTCATTTTTAAAAAAGAAATCCTAGGCTTTCCTTTGCCTATTGCCCTGGCCTCTTGTGATAGCCCTAAATTCAAGCAAATTATTTTACAGTATATCTTCAAAACACGTGGAGAATGTCAGAAAGCTTTTGACCTGACCCAGGCAGGCCCAATCCGGTCAGATCTCGGAAGCTAAGCGGGGCCAGCCCTGGTGAGTCCTTGGATGGGAGACCTCCAAGGAATACCAGGACTGGGAGGCAAAGGGAGGCAATAGCAAGCCACCTCTCTGCAATGTCCAAGCTCCACTAAGGGTTGCCAGAGGTCAGCCGTGTCTTCCAGGCACACACACACACGAATTTTTAAAAAGAAAATTAAAAGATGGCAGAGATCTTTCCTTGTTTTTCCCTCCTGTCTTCCAGAAACAACAGTTAGCCCCCCTTCCCCCCCGGCCACTTTGGTGAGCTAAAGACTCCAGGTAACAGTTTCAATATCGCATTTGGGATTCTTAGCTTCTGAGATCTGACGAGATCGGGCTTGCCTGGCCTATCCAGGTCAGGGTGTTGGAATGCCTTCCATGGGTTACACGGTCCTGGGAAAAACTGCTTGCTTCAGGGCTAAGTAGCTATTCTGACAGACACCCGCTGGGGTGTCAATTCTGAGTGGTGGCATGGTTTTTTGCAGACCACATCATTCATCATTTTTGTCTTGAAAAACTGATTTGAAAGTGAGGTTGGGTCTATGGGTGTGTTCACAGTATGCCATTTGCTTGGCTCGACTGCATTTTTTTTTACAGCGCATTGTCCCTATTTTACCATTTGTCAGGCTATATCCATTTTCAATATCTGTTGGGGGCTTTTAGCTTCTTCTTCTGTTTTCCAGGCTCTTTAAGGATAGGGCAGGGTAGAAGTTATATACTGAAATATTCTGTGACCTGGTAAAACGAATCCTCTCCCAAAATGTAGCCAGTTGTCCAGGCCCAGTAGGTGGAGGAGATCTGGAGCAAGAAGGCAACAGAAGCCGCTCTGGATAGTGAACACTTTTTTGACAATTGGAAGCATGTTTTATATGTAAGGGAACGCAGCAGCCACAAGATGCTGTGAAAAGTCAGGTCACTCTGGGAACCAAAAGACCACAAGAAAATGGAGGGGGGAGTCTGAAATGACCAAGAGAATTTCTTTAATTAAAGCTGGTTAATGAACAGCTTGTTAGCACAAAGCACATCTGCGTGGTTCAAAGCAGAGCAACTTATGCTTTAAAAAAGTTCCCACAGCTTTCCGCTGGGTCTAGTAATGACTAAGTGATTGTCGCTTAAGGCCCTCTGTGAAACGAACGGCGGGGCTTTGAACTGCTTCGCAGGGAGTAGCTATTGATTACGCGCAGTCCTTTTGTCCGAAGCCTCCTGAAAGGGACAACAAGTTGAGCGAATTGGTAGAGTGAATGGAGTTCTCGGTGGCTTAGTCATTTCCAATAACTGGGCCTGTTTATGATTGCATTTGGAGCGTGTGGAGCAGGACAGGGATGTTGTGCTTCAAAATTCTCATCCTTTCAAAATTAGCTGTTTCTGGCTGGAGACAGGGTAAGAACAGCTGTGTTGAGTCAGACCAACGGTCCATCTAGCCCCAGCGCTTTGTGTCACACACTCTCCAACCAGGTGCCCCTGGAACTCGGCAAACACAGCCCAGAGGCGAAAGGCTCCCCCTGCTGTTGCCCCCCTCTGCCCTCCCACCACCGGTATTCAGAAAGACAAGTGCCTCCGAATGCGGAGCTTCTGTTTAGTAACTGCGCCCGAGAGTTGCTGATGGGCCTCTTCTCTGTGAATCAAGTTCACTGGGAGTATCGTTGATTTATGCCACCTCTTTGGCCAGTGTGGCATTGTGCCAGTGTTGGGGGGGCAACTGCTCTGAGAGAGCTTAGCCAGTTCTGCTCCTCTGCAGACACGGGGCCCTGTGCTAAGCAGAGTCATGCTGGCGTGACACCAGTGTCACACTTAACACCAGCAGGACTTACCAAGGAGGTGGTGTTGGTTGTTTTTCTTAAAGAAGTAATAAAATGAAGGAGAGGAGACCAGTGTAAGCTCCCATTGGGGAGGAATGTGGGGTATCAATGAAGGGAATAAAAAAGCAAATGAAATAGTTATATGGGTAACTCACTGCCAGTGAAGGTAGTGATGGCCACAGCCATCGAGCATCTACGAGAGATGAGAGAGTAAAAAAACCTCCACATTCAGAGGTAAGGGTAAAGGTTTCCCTTGCTCGAAAGCCAGTCGAATCTGACTCTAGGGGACGGTGCTCATCTCTGTTTCAAAGCCAAAGAGCCACCGCTGTCCGAAGACTTTTCCATGGTCATGTGGCCAGCATGACTAGACACCGAGGTACACGGAACGCTGTTACCTTCCCACCGAAGCGGTACCTATTTATCTACTTACAGTTTCTCGCTTTCAAACTGCTAGGTTGGCAGGAGCTGGGGCCAGAGATGGAAGCTCACTCCGTCATGCGGCACTCGGGACTCAAACTACTGAACTACCGATCTTCCGGCTGGCAGTTCAGCGTCTTAACTACTGAGCCACCGCAGCCCTAAAACCCAGTGCTAGGACGCAACATCAAGGGAAGGCCTTGGCCTCTGTTCCCTGTCCGTTGGCCCTCTAGGGCAATTGACTGGCCACTGTGTGAGACAGGATGCTGGATGAGATGGACCACTGGTCTGATCCAGCAGGGCTCTTCTTATGTTTTTAAAGAGCTGGGACTTGACATCTTAGGCTACTCCAGCTGGTATAGGAGGACCAAGAGGTCACTGTGCTAGTCCTGCAGTTTTGCGGATGTTGGCTACAATCCAAATGAGCTGCATGTGGAGACACAGCAGGAACCTGGCATACAGCCGGGGCTTTCTCCAGCGTTTGCCATCTCAGAGCCAAACCGGCTCAACAAATCCCTGTTCAGCCAGGAAGTTCACTGTGTGGCCTCGGGTGGTAACTGTCTCTGTCCAACAAACCTCCCAGCCCCAGGTAGTTGGGTGGCTCTAGAATATCACTCTTCCTTTTTTGTGGCCCATTGAGGCCATTAACATTAACCGAGATAATTTTAATCTTCCTCTGCAACTTCTCCATCTTCTTTCCCTTCTTTTTCCTTCTGTTCCTTTTTCTTATATTGGAATCTCGTCAGGACATTAGATAGAGTCTTTTCCGGTTTTCTTCGTTCTCTTTTCTTAGCTCTTGTTTATCCACTACTGCCGCGAGTTGAGTGCTTGTCCCTTCTTCTGGCTCCTCCTCCGAGGATTCTGTGGGGTCTTCCTCACTTTTCCTCCCTAAGTCCTGTCCATGTCGCTCATGGGTGAGTGCTGGGCTTTTGGAAGGCGAGATGCCTCCTGCCATATCACAAGAGGAAGGTATCCACCCCCCCCCCCTTTTCAACAACCATTTGCTATTCTTTATTGGAATGCTGCAGGACATGAAACAGCACATCCAAGGACGCTTTGAATTTCTGAGCAAGTTGCAGTTCTCAGTAAGCAAATCCAGGTGAAAACCATTTGTTGCTTTGGCATTAGCCCATAGAGAGCTGCGGCTTCCTTGCGTTCCTATGCTTTGCTCCTTCGACTTTAAGCCCTTATCCGCTGTCCTCATTCATTCAGATTTAGCTAACCTTCCCAGCCTTCTAGCCCCTGAATAACATTCAGGCGGCGAGCGCTGTCTTGCCATCAGCGACCTGAGAAGTGTTAATTCTAATCTTTTCCCTCGCCCAGTACATTTCAAGTGATTTTACACTTTGCGTCGCCATACAGCTGTTCAAGAGCCTCGTCTTCCCTTTTCTCTTTTTTGGGGGGCTAGAAAATGGGTACATCTGCCTCGAGCCCATCTATAATGTTGTGTCTGCCTTTGTGTTTAGGTTTTAAACCTCCTGAACGAGAAGGAAGTCAAGCTCGTCTTGCCTACGTGGGCCATCACTCCGAGGACGTTTGTGCTGAAATCTGGGATGACCTTGTTCCTGGGGGCATTGGGGCGCATTGATTACATACAGGTAAGGGGCAGGTGGGGGAAGCTCATTATCAAGGTATTACCTGCGCATTCAAGAGGGCTCTTCTGCACAGGTAAGGGGGCTGCACTGTACAAAAGGGTACACAGACTTGGATAATATGAGCAGAGGACTGTGGTCTGTACTGCTGTATATAGCTTATTGCAAGTGAGATCCTGTCATGTAATTTCTCTCCCACTTTAATATGTCATGGGTGGCTCCAGACTTGTAGAATCCCAGGGCACTGGTTATGGAATGTCCTGTTTTTGCCGATTGCATTGACTCCCTTTGCGTAATCCGCCTTGAGTCCCCATGAGAAAGGCAGACTTCCAATAATAAAGTATCAGAAGGCTCTTGGGTATGTTGCACATCCAGGAACGTTCTGCAGGTATTAGGTTTTGCAGATATTATTGCCAGGTGTAGACAGGTGGAAGCAGAGGGATATAAAAGGAAGCCGTGTCAGGTTGGTAGCCCTGTGGGCCTGCAGTACAAAAGCCAGATTTGAGTCCAGTAGCACCTTAAAGACCACTGGAATGTCCAGGGGGCAAGCTTTCAATGATCCAAACTCCCTTCAGCAGAAGGAAACACAGTTGCTCCCTGTCCCTTGCAAGCATATCTCCACCTGCGAGATGGAGAGATGCTTGCAGACAGGGTACCTTGGTGAAGCAAAAGGCCTTTCTGTCCGTCAGGGTCCCATTTCAGGGGCTTCTCCTGGTGTCAGAGTTTGCTTTTTGGGGTCAATCAAGAAGTCAAGTGCCATCTCAACACTCCTGCCGGAGGGAATTTTAACAAACAAACTGGAATGTCAGGCTTTTTGCCCAGGGGTTCCAAAATCAGGGAGGGGTGCCAAAGTGCATGCTAGGTGCATCAGCAGGAAGGGATGGAGTGTCAGGCTAAGGAAGTGTCCCCGTGGATCTCCCCGACTGGGTTGACAAGAGAGCTTGACAGAACAGCCACAGTGTGACATCTATGTGTTGAGCCCCGCCCCCCGCCCCCAGGGTCTGGCCCGTACAGGCGCAGTCTCCATTTGATGAAATGGAGCTTGTAGCTTTCCTGCAGGCTCCAAATGGGACAGGCCTGCTTTGTCATAAGCACATCTGAATTTGTTCATAACACCTCACTAGAGGTGGGTGGTGTATCCTCTGCTGGATGATCACACGACATGGGATATTTGCTCCTATTGTGGCATCACAATAGCCTCCTTCAGAAGCTAAGCCACTGCTCCCTGATGGTGGTGAACTACTTGCCAGCTTTAAGGTTAATTAGTTGACTGCATTTATAGCCTGTGTTCCTCCCTGTGCTCCTGTGACAGCTCCGTTCCTTGAATCCAGGCCAGTGTTTTAGAGTGCCCTAATCCATACCAGGAGCTGGTGTGGGCAGGAAAAGGGGAAAAGGCAGTTGTATTCACTGTAGCTCTAGACAGAGAAAAAACTGGACTTCTTAAACTGTGCTCCTGTCTGAAACGGTGCTGCCTCCTTTTTCTGACACCAAGCACTAAGAACAGAACACTCCCCAGTGGGGACCCAAAGCTGCTTCCATCGTACTCCCCTGCTCCATTTAATCCTTACAACGACCCTGTGAGGTAGGGTAGGCCTCAAGGGTGTGACTGGGCCAAAGTCCCTCGGTAAGCTTCCATGGCAGAGTGGGGATTTAAACCTCGGTCTGCTAGATCCTTGTCCAATACTCTAACTGCCGTTTCTTCTTTTGGGGGGGGTGTATATTCTGTGTAGGTATATGTGTGTGTGTGTATGTATGTGAGCCTGGAACTGGTGGTTGACTTCTGGCAACCCCTAGTGGGGCTTGGACATTTCAGAGAGGTGGCTTGCTATTGCCCGCCTCTGCGCCCCAGCCCTACTATTCCTTGGAGGTCTGCCATCCAAGTGCTTGCCAAGGTCTGACAAGATCGGGCTTGCCTGGGTTATCCAGGTCAGGGCTGTAACCGCTACTTCTGAAATGCTGCATTGAGCCCTGACCTGGATAGCCCAGACAAGCCCGATCCCATCAGATCCCAGAAGTTAAGCAGGGTCGACTCTGGCAAGTACTTGGATGGGAGACCTCCTTGGAATACCAGCAGTCAGGAGGCGGGTGCAGGCTTTATTCAGCCACCTCTCTGAGTATCCTCCAGGCTCCCACTAGGGGTCAGTCACCATGACTTCCAGGTGTGCGCGCACACTCACATAAAAATACAAAAATTACAATAAAATGTTGGGTTGTCTTTGAAGCATGCATTTCAGATCATTATCAGCCTCCTTTCCTCTTTAGGGAGCCCAGTCCTCTTGGTTTACTGTTGTGGCCTCTAACCTGTTGCCCGTACACATCACGCTGGTCGAGAAAGCAGATGCCGTCTATCAGAAACACGCAGGTCACAAGTTACTGAAGGTATGGCAGCGCCGGCCCGTACATCGTTTTGAGACTGTGAGGGCAGATGCCTTGTGATCTCTCTCGTTTCACAGCCGTTCATCACGGTGCCTCTTGGGCCCAGCACAAGGCCAGCTTTGTTCTGCTCTTAGCCAGCACTGTGGCTCCCTTGTCTCAGACAAGTTCCTCCTATCTCGGTGGTCCTCTCCTATGTAAAAAAAGAAAGGAATACTTCACATTGTGTTGGCTTGTTGAGTTTCTCGAAAGTAGGCGATAGAAATAGAACGCTTTTCTGTGTGTTTTGATGCAACAAGGTTGGTCCCTCTTAAAATCACATCTCCTAGATTAGATATGAGCTCCTTCGTGGATTTGTAGTTATTACTACCGTTCGTTTTTATAGCACTTCTTAAGGCACAAAGGCCGCGCCATCTGCATTTGAAATGCTGGAGAGGAATAATGGAGTGCTACAAAGCCACCAATGTTCCCTCTAATTCCCCCCCAGTGGAGTGCTACAAAGCCACTAATGTTCCCTCTGATTTTTCCCCCCCTACTGAGTAGAGCAGTTGACATCCTGAGCAGAATATAACTGGTGTAACCTTAAAATGGGCAGACTACTGCTGAGCGGGGCTTCCTGTGTTAATGAGTGGCCGCTCACTCCCACAGCTTAGAGGGAACACTGAAAGCCACCCCAGCAATTCTGTGTCTGATGTGTCATCCAAGGCCACCTGTCTATTTTCTATACCACATAGCGTCACTCTGACCTTTCCACTGGTAAGAGTCCCAGATGATCTCCTACTGAATAGTTGACTATGGGACACACCATGTTGAAACTATCCAGATGAGAGCTTGACCGCAAACCAGAAGTCTCTGAAGGCTTGTGTATATGTTCTTCCAGAGTAGCTGGTGGGACTGATTCAGGAGTGGGCTAATAAATAGTGTGAAATTAAAGGAACTGTGGCCTGTAAACTTGCTCGTTATCTTGACTAGACAACTCTCCCAAGTGTCCGTCATTTTTATTGTTTGAACCAGAGGCTTTACTTCTCTCTTGTAATGCAAGGTCCCCATGGGAGGCGAAGAGCGAATGAAAGATTTCCCGTCGCTTGTTCCTCAAGATGTGACGTTGGAAGGAACTGGTGATGCTGAGGCTGTGGCTGACATAAAGCTTTCATCTGCCGGTAACTTCTCCACCTTCTTCTCTAAACGTTCTCTTCTGTAGGCTGGCTACTCTCTGTTGGAATTCATGTTGTCAAACTCTGGAAGTGGATTGATTCTAGTATGAAGACCCAGTCCAGTGTAGTGAGGTTTTTACATGGGTCCTGATTTCTGCAGACCTCTTAATAAAACTTTATGAATTACTGAACGCCAGGACTTTTTTGTAGGCACTAAAGAGAACAATTTCTGAAGGGACCTCGTTTTAGTGTTTGGAAAAGGGAATTATTTGGCCTGGCCTTGCTTTGACTGAGCATAAACTACCGTCTGTGATTAGTCCAATGTTTCCTTTTCATCTTGTTTGGACAAGTGACGTGAAAGGAATATTCCTTCTCCGCAGGCTGGGTGGCTGTTACAGCTCATTCAAACAACAAAATGCATCTAAGGTGCTATACTCCAGAAGGGACAGCGCTGACCATCCGGAGACCTCCTCTGCTGCCACACATTGTTCAGATCAAAGGGGAACGTTTGAGAAGAAGTCCAGCCTATAAGACTAAAAAACCCCCTCCCTTTGTGGAGAACCAAAGCAGAAATGTTAAAAAATAGGGGGGGGAAATGTCATCTGAATGGTAAGTTGTGGAGAATGGAAGCTCTCGGGTGTCACTTTACCTGACATGACAAGACTGCTTCCTATTTTAAATAAATTGAGTAAACGTGCCCTGACCTGGATAGTCCAGGCAGGTCCGATCTCGGAAGCTAAGCGGGGCCAACCCTGGCAGGTATATGGATGGGAAGCCTCCAGAGAATACCAGGGCTGGGAGGGAGAGGCAGGTTATCAAGCCACTTATCTGAACGTGCTCCATGCCCCAGTAGGAGTCGCCAGAGGTCGCCATGACTGCCAGGCACAGGCGCGCACACACACATACAAATGCAAAAATGCCAAAAGAATTGAGTAAACTCTTTGAGGGCTCAAATACAATGGCCCTGCAGCCCTGAAAGGGGCCATGGCTCAGTGGTAGAGTATCTGCTTTGCATGCAGGAAGTCCCAGGTCCAGTCACTGGCATCTCCAAAGAATTATATAGGAGGTGATGTAAGCAGCCTCACCCTGGGACCCTGGAGAGGCAGTCAGGGCAGAAAATACTGACCCTGCCAGACAAATGGTCCGATTCAGTATAAGGCAGTTTCACGTGTTCAGTGCTTTGGGAGACTCCGAGTAGGAGAGAGCTCTCTGATTAACACATGAATTGTTTTCCCAAGACACTTGCCCAGTCTTGGTTGTGGACAGCAGCTTCCGACAGGGATTGCTTCCAAGACCATGCACCAATGTAGTCCTTTTAAGGAAGGAGCTGTGGCTCAGCAGCAGCTGGGCATGCAGAAGGTCCCGGGTTCAATCCCCGGCATCTCCAATTAAAAAGATCTGGCAGGAGGTGCTGTGAAAGACCACTGAGACCCCAGAGAGCCGCTGCCAGTCTGAGTAGATGATACTGACTTCGATGGACCAGTGGGTTTGATTTAGTATAAGGCCACTTCATGCGTTCATATAATCAGTATTGTGCCGTTTGTGTGGCAGTCTACATAGTTACCGTTCACATTTCTCATGCTGTTTCAGCAGGCCAGCTTGGAGTTCTTTCCGTCTGATTTGCTTCATTTTGATGAATATTACTGGAAGAGGAAGGAGGGTCTCAGATAAAACTGCAGCAAGATTGGTATGTGGAGAAACGAGCCACGTGTGGCTGTCGGCCTGTAACGGGTGGAAACAGCATCGAGAAGGCAAACAGCATCTGAACAGCCTGACCGGGGGCCTATCTTTTACTTTGCCTTTCGCATCGTGTAGGAACCGAGAGATCTAGCAAAACCCATGCATTTTTCAATATTGGGTTTCGGGCGGCACTTTGCAAACGGAGTCCCATTGCCTCCCGAGAACTCATTTCTTGCTGCAGAAACGACTGAACCTGGCTGTGAAAAAAGAGTAAGTGGGTGTCCAGGTTGCTGTGGGGTGGGACCTGGAAGTTAAGGAACGGGAAGCAAAGCCAAGATCCAAGCAGGAGTATGGGAGCGGGTATCCAGTGCAGTTATACCCCAAGGGCTTCTGTTTCACCACAGCTGAATTGTTCTAATAAGCTGTGGCCACGCTGAGATTGTGAGGTTTAGACTGAGCATGACACTGGCTGAGGCGAAGGCCCCTTTCCCTAAGACTTGCCACGAGGTGCAAGGGATCGAGTTCAGAGGGGGGAAAGCGTGTTTGCCTCAGCCGGGGTCACGCTGAGTTAGGCCTGAAGGCCTTCAAAGTGGAGAGAGCGGACCATCTGAGAAGCCTTCCCTACTTCCACAGGAAGGACTGCGGATCACCCATAGAGTGGCCAGTGGGGTCAATGCCTTCCGTGGTCCCATTGGAATTAATGCAAATAAGGGCACAGCAATCTGAAAACACCAAACAGTCAGAGGGGTAAACATTGGGAAGCTGTATTTTACCTCTGAATTGTAATCCCTCTCAAATAAAAATGGACTTTGAGAAGGAAGTATTCTGGAATATACCTTGGGATAGAATTACAAGAGTTGGAAGGGACCTCCAGGGACATTTAGTCATTCATTCCTGCACAGTGCAGGAAATTCACAAATACCTCCCCCCCCCACACACACACACACAGTGACCCCTGCTCCACGCCCAGAAGATATAAAAAAAACCCCTCCAGGATCATCAGCCAAACCGGCCTGGAGAACAATTGCTTCCTGACCCCAAAGTGGCAATCGGCATTTCCCTGGGTGTGTAAGAAAGGGCCACAAGAACTAAGCACTGAGGCAACCCTTCCTGCAGCCTCCCTCTCGTGATCTAAGTTCTCAGAATCAGCAATGCTGTCAGATGGCCATTTAGCCTCTGTTTGAAAACCTCCAAAGAAGGTTTGAAAACCTCCCAGGCTGTTCTCTATCCGACTGCAGAACTGGAGGTGACGAGAAAAACGAGATGTTTGAAAGAAACCCTGGGCTAGAAGCATCAGCGCCTCTGCACAAGGGCTGTTCAAGTGCTGATTGAGTTGGCATCAAACTGTTAACAATGCCAGCTGTTCAGCGATGGGCTGAAATCACACACGAGGCTGCCTTATACCAACTCAGACTGGCAGCAGATTTGCAGGGTCTCAGGCAGAGAGGACCTTTTAACAGATGCCGGGGATTGAACCTGGGACCTTCTGCATGCCAAACAGATGTTCTGCCACAGCACCATGGCCCTTCCCCATCATCTGCTTCAAAGTGGAAGAAAAACCTCTGCAAGTGGTTAACCCATTCTCCTAAACCCCCCATCCCCTTTTTTTCCTCACCACTCAAAACTTTGAAGAGATTGGATTTAGTTGAATTTTTAACCCGCCCTTCACTTGGAGTCTCAGAGCGGCTTACAGTCTCCTTTCCCTCCCCCTCCTCTCCCCACAACAGACACCCTGTGAGGTAGGTGGGGCTGAGAGAGCTCTTTCGAGGATGGCTCTTGAGAGAACTTGTGACTGACCCAAGGTCCCACCAGCAGCTGCATGTGGAGGAGTGGGGAATCAAACCCGGTTCTCCCAGATTAGAGCCCGCTGCTCTTAACCATTACACCAAACTGGCTCCGAGAAATTATTCCACTTGCTGTTTTGGCTACTGAGTTCATTTGAGCAGGGGAAAGGATGGAGATTTAGAGTGTGTACACCCAAGGTATATTTACATAAAAATAACATCTCGTTAGTCCAATAGTAAATTCAGGCGGCTTGCAAAACAGGGCCACCCAGAGGCATTGGCTTACTTGGGAGATACAAATGGCCTGCACGCAGTGAATGCCTTCCATGAGCCACAGAACACTGAAAGCAGCTGAGCATCAGCAGAAACAGTTTTGAAACCAAAGAGGATCGGGAGAGATGGCCTGATGAAGCTCAAAACAGCACAGAATGCTCTGGGGGAAATTGGAACTGGGGGGTCCTGGTGTCCAGACACTCATCCTTCAGCCCCAGTTCCTAGCCGTTCACGTGAGGCTGGGTTAGAGTAATGACTGAAGGGGAAAAATTGCATCCTCTGATCATTGTTAAGAACGCCTCTCACAGTTTAAATAACCTGTGGAGTAATCCTGTTGTAAGCAGAAATTCAGTGGGATTTTAAAGACATTTAATCCAGCATGAGACTTTTTTTTTTAAGAGTCAAGAGTTCACTTCCATCAGATGCATCAAGTTTGTATCCGTAGCAGAGTTATTTGTACTTTAAGGTAACAGTTTATGGTATCGTGAAATTCAATGTGGTGAGGTGGACTGCGAGTAGCATACCCCCGCATCCCAATTAACCCCCCCCCCCATACATAGACGCAAGCTTGGTTCTCCTTTATGGAGGTCAGAGTGCATCTGTGTATACTGGGTCATACTGCTTTGCTGTTCACCCCCCTTGCTGTCAATATAAAGCAC